AATCACATGGATTCATGTGACATTGATGATGATATAAGACTTCTCAAGAATCATGATACAAAAGATAATAGGATTAAAGATTAGAGTTTGTTCACAATCCTTTATAATCTGTGAATAAGGCCCAGGAATTAGTGAATTTGTTTGACGTCTAGGCAAACACTATCAGTTCAGAAACCCTTCTTGTCAAATTTGAACCTAAAAAGAAGTCTGATTACAGACTGGACATCAACTGTCGCCATGGAGAGGGAGGACTTTTCCAAAAGTAACATTGATTGGCTCTTCTTTTTGCCACACTGGTTTGCTTTAGTAGAGCACAGCAACGCCATCTGTGTGTTTTTCTAAACTGTTCCTCATAAATTTTTATAATATCTTGAATTTATTGATAGAGGAGTCTGAAATGCAATCAATATTTTAAAATTGTTTTATTTCTTGAAAATTCACCAAAGGAGAGTGAAAACTGGTTCAAATTTCAGAAGAGCAATTAGCACTATTTATAATATTTTCAATGCATGTAGCTTCTAGCCCAGCAGTTTCACTGTTAAGCCTTTGCACAAATTCATTAATATATGTGTACAGAGGTGTTCAATATAGAATTCACTCAGTAATATTTATCATGCCAGGCACTTTTTTAGGCACTTGAGATAAAGCAGTGAACAAATAAGACAAAGACCCCTGCCCTAGTAGAGCTTGCTTACATGCTAGTGGGAGCATGAACAATATACATATTGAATAGAAAAATTACATAGAGTGCTAGAAAGTGGTAAGTCTATAAAAAATATAAAATGGAAAAGGATAAGAGGTTTTGGAGTACGGGTTAAAGTTTTAAAAAGGGTGGTGAAGGGTAGACCTTAGTGAGATGATATTTGAGCAAAGACATAAAGAAGGTGAGAGAGTTCACCAGGCGTATATGAAAAACTTGAAACAACCAAAATACCCACCCACAGAGAATGTGAAAATGTGATATAGCCATTCAGTGGAATAATACTATGCAACCATTAAAAAGAATGAGGTAGATCAGTGTTCTAGGGTGGATGCCCAGGAGACTGAGGCAAAGATTAGTGTGCTGGAGTTTTACTGGGCAGTGCTCTCAAGAGCAATTCTCACAAGAGAGTGCAGGATTGGGAAGCAGAGCTGGGCGAGCAAGAAGTTGACTGCAATGCATTTACATCTGAGCCCCCGGCCTATGTCCCACATGCTCAGGACCAAGGTTTTGTATCACCAACTCCTCCATTGACTGGTCATTGTAGCACAGTTGGGGGAACCAGTTTCCTTTGGCCACGGGTATTTCAAAGGGAAATATTCAGGTGAGAACTGTCAGCAGATAATACTCCCAGCAGCGAGGAGAGTGAACACCATGATCCCAGGCAACACACACAGCCTCCACCACTATGTGTATGGGCTGGAACCTCCACTGTGTATTGTGAAGTAGAAAAAGCCAGATCCAGAACACTTACATGTAGGTATACAGTGTCTTGGGATTCATGCCTGTACAGCATGGAGATGACCTTAAAAACAGTAAGCCATGCCAACCAAGGCATGGCTGACAGGGGCAGGGTTGGATCTCCAAAGTTTCATTGTAAAGGTGACCTTTACCTTGCTGTTTGGTCAAGGTAAGTTAAGTCAAGCTAATATTTTAAAAATGAGGAAGGTCCTAATCAAAGATCTGATTTCCAAGGAGTTATAGAAATAGGAGTAAAATAACATTTAATCAACCATAAATGGCAGATAAAACTTTCCTAATATAACAGTGATTGAGAATATGAATTCTAGAGTCAGAAGGAGTAGGTTCAAATTCTGTCTCTGCTGCTTATTGGCTTGGGGACACTGAACAAGTGATTTCATGTCATCAGTTCTCAGTTTTCTCAATTATGAAACGAGGGTAATAATATCTGTATCTCATAAGGGTGTTGAGAAGATTTAATGTGATAATTTACTGTACTAAAAATATTTAGTCAGTGTCTGGGACACAGCAAGTGCTCAGTAAGCATGGGCCATACCAAAAGTTTCATATATTACTTTTCGGTGACCTTCAAAACCCTGGGAGATAGATGTTATAATCCTCCTTTCAGAGAAGACACAGCAGCAGAGACTCAGAGAGGTTAAGTAATTCACCAAGATCACACAGCTAATACATGATAGAACCAAAATGCCTTCACAAAACTCCTGACTCCTAAGTTTAGGGTGTTTTCCGCTAGAATATAGGCGATAAATTAATCACCAGACAATCATTTGACATTTGTTTTTAAATGATACAGTATCATAGTATTTATACAACATTCTTATCTTCTTTGCAATGCTCACTTTTTTTTTTTTTTCTTTTTTTACTGCAGCGTGTCAAGGGGTAGAGAATATTCCATCTTCAGATCCATGGAATTTGGAGAGGTTTAATTTCTTTGAGGATACTTAGGGTTTGTGATGACATTTGAAGAAAAATCTATGAACTATATAGTATTATTCATATTTATTGTTTTTCTTTGTTATTGGTAGAACCCAATCAATATCTCTAAGAATGAATTACTCCCAGTCAAAAGGCAGCAGTGACTCCATATTATTACTTCCTCGTTCTGAGCACTAGATGTCACACTAAGTAAAGTTTTAGAAGTTATTCTTCAAAGTAGGGTGTGGTGTAGAGTGTAAACCTTAGCTAAAAACCATAGCTTTATATTTCTAGTAGAATGGAGTTAAGATATACTTTCATTAACAAAAGAATTTAGAAAGAAGAATTATTTATCAGAATATATAATTGGAAAAACCTTAAATATGTGCAACTCTTTGGATATCAATTACACCTCAATAAAGCTGTGTGTGTGTGTGTGTGTGTGTGTGTAGCTGGAGTAACCTTGTCATGTCAAACAGACACATCACATTTATATGCACATAAAAATTATATTTCATTCCAGAAACTGATTTTTCTAGAGGCAGCTTATGCATACATATCCGTGATCATTTGTGTTCTAATGTGGTGAGAAGCTGTTCTTCTCTAGGAAGAGAATCAGACATGGCCCTAACCTGCAAAGGGTGGAGAAGGTGAAAGAGGGGATAATGACAACCAGGTTTAATAAACCCCGAACGGTCTCAGGGAAGGGTGTGGAATCATCTTTCTTGCATGGCTTATGCTTAGAAGCTGTAGCAGATGCTTCCCAGCCTGCTCAAATACCTTTATTCCTTGATTTTAGCTCTCAGAAATCTAGATGGGAATCATAGATTCAGATCTGGATATACATTATTTCCTTTGAAAAATACATTGTTTTTAAAAGATGGCAAGGAATACAGACTCAGTACGAAAATAAGTTAGGTGGTTATATCCTATAACTTAAAGGAGTCACTAAAACTCCAATAAGTTTCCATTGAAATACTTGGAGTTCATTGGAAGCTAGAGAGAATGAATTCTTTGTTTTAGCAGTTACAAGGCATCTCTTTCCCCCTACAAGTAACTCACAATGAATTTGAACTGTATTTAAAGATCTGTATATGAATATAGATATATGTAATTAACATTACAAACATTGTAAATAATGTTTTTAAGTTTCAGAGTTTTCCAAATTGTATATAATGCCTGGTGATTCCCACTGGACATAATTAGTCCTGTGTCTGTGTGGTGAATATCAGTGTCCTGATTATGTTAAGATCACTCTGATAAAGTTACAGCTGATTAAATATCACTATTTGGGCCCAGGATTCATCCAGGTCTTTCTCTTATTCGGGAGATAGACAATTAACAATACCTTCCAAAATAGGTGGTTGGTTATCTTTGGCGATCAAATCCTGCATGATTTGAGATTTTTTTTCCCCATGTATTAACATCGCTGCTGCCTTGAGTTTTAACAATTTGAGGTTGCCCAGGTCTCGACTGAAATCCTTCATTTTCTCCCAGAGCACTGAGGGGGCGGTGAGTGCTGTGGCAGCTCATGCTGTTTCTCCTTCAAGCGCTCACACAGCTACTTAGGAGAATCAGTAGACTGTTAACTTTTTCATTCAGTTTGAGAACTTTGAGAAAAGTGATAGCTCGTCATTAGAGCCTCTAAGGATGAAAAAAAGCCCCAGAATAAAATGTAGGCAAGACTATTTATCAAGCCAAGGGGTGTGTATGTGTGTGTGTGCGTGCGCGAGCACGCACGTGCATGTTGGGGCAGGGAGGGGTGTGTGTGTGTGTGTGTGTGCGCGCGCACATGCGCATGTTGGGGCAGGCAGGAGATGAGAAGTTCAGCTCTGTATTTACCAGATACTTACTGAATACTCATCTGTGCTGGGTCTGGGGGACGGAGATTCAGTACCTGCTCAGATGGAGTAAAACCAGTGCCCTTCATCCTGGCTGACTATTTTTATAGCTTGTATTTGGACTGTTCCTGCTTAAGACAATGGTCAGAGCTGCTCAACACAGTCGGGTTCCCTTTTTGGTTTTCCCACCAGCTTGCCTTTTGTTTCTGATGCTTTGGCTCTAGACCCTCTCTCTGTACTAAGGGAATGATGAACACATTGAAAGAGCATGTTGAGGCTCAACTAATTTCAATTCACCAAAAAGCAATGGAGCACCTACAATGCGCTGGGCCTGACCAAAAAGTGGATGATGCATCCCTGTCTTGAGGAGCTTGAAAAACAGTAAAGAAGATAAGAATAGGACACTATTCACAGATAATATCTTAGGATTGGAATCCCAGGTTGCTAGTTAGACAGTGTGAGAAGCAAAAGTGGCTAATAAAGCATCTGAGAGTACTTTACAGAAGTTTCTCTTATTTGCTCCTCATAACAACCCAAAGAAGAAACTGAGTCACTGGGAGGTTAGGTAACTTCTCCAAGGTCATCAACTAGGCAATGGTGAATCTGAGCTCAGACTGGAAGCACATCTGAGGGATCGCAGAATCTATGCTATTCACCACCACACTCTTTTACAGTCAGAATATACACCTATGGCTTGACAACTGCTCTGGAAGATGAGCTATAGAATTTGCATACCGTGGATTTATATTGTATTCATGAGCCATATTTTTATTTTCTGATAGGTCATGGATTGACAGCAGTCAAGGAAAAAGCAGGGGCCACCCTACGGATTCATAGTGTAAATTCTAGCTCTTCTGAAGAGGCCCAACCTGACACCGAAAATGACGTCCTTCAAAGTGAGTGATGTATTTATTTGGGGGCTTCTTGGATTTGGGCTGTATTACACTGTGTGCACATATAGAAGATTTTGAAGTTTAGATCATCAAAATGAACTCTGAAAGGATGTTTTTCTCTTTAGTAGCAGATGCGGTCACAGATCAGAACCCCGCAGAAAGCCCGCCCACTTCACCTTCATCGGGGTCTCGGGGCGTGCTGTCGGCCATCACCAGTGTGGTTCAAAACACAGTAAGTCATTAGCTGCTTCCTCTGTTTTTCCCTGGTGTCTCTCAGCGCCTTATTTTGACATCTCTATTTACCAGTGACCTAGATATATCAGAGAAAAGATGGCCTTGCTCATTATAATTTAGGATTATGGTTTTGTTATGCTCTCTTCTACAGAGTGGGCATAGCTTGGAACCAAAATGATAAGGGCAAAATGAAATGCATTTTGTGTGTAAAGGAAAGGAGCTGCTTAAAAAGAAACATTTTTCAATCTGATGTAACAGTGTCCTTTCCGGCTGCTGCAAGGACAGCCTTTGGTTGGCGGGCAGAGAGGGCTCTTTCTTAGAGCTGGGACAGTTGTTTTTCTTCACTGGTCGCGTCTCCTAACCTTCAACTTGAAAAATTATAAAGCCATTTAAATTTTAAAAATGCTGGTAAGGAGTCAGGAACAACACCCTCAAGATGTGTCTAGTATTTGCAGATAACTAAGACCAACATTTTTTCCCCATTTCTACCTCCCAACTCCCCCTCTCTCTTTAACCCAAAGCCTGCTCCCCGACATCCCATCCCCACCCCCACCTCCAGGCCCCTGCCTATGTCTTAAAGGAGCTTGTTATCATAGACTAACATTGATGAAAAATGAAAAAAGGGGGGAAGCACCCCCACTGAGATGAGGTCAGGGAGAAAGGTTTATTTTCTGCTATGTAAAACCAGTGAACTAGTTTTTCAAGAAATATGGCTCATGTTCAATTTATTCACTAATTCATTTTTAAAAACGATGATTAGCCTTCGTTATATACCAGGAGCTATGCTAGATGCTGGGTATATCCTGGCAAACCAGAGGGCATAATATCCCAGAAGACAGAGACACCTCAACAGGCAAATTCAATGCAATATGGGAAGAGGGGCTATAGACTCACATATGAGAGTATCTTACCCGGACTTTGGGTAGAAATAGAAAATAACTGCTCCTCTCAATGATATTAGAAGACCTCTAGACTAAGTAGAGTGAAGGAGGAGCAGCAAACATGTTTTAGGAGTAAACTAGCAAGAAAAGTCCGGTATGCCCTGGGGAGTTTGTAGGGCTGGAGATGGCAAGGAGCTCTTTCAATATCTTTGGTATGAGAAATGAATTCACAGTCTCCCTGAACTACAGTTCAGGGCATTCTGAATTTGTCTTTGGCATCCTCATATTCCTTTCCGTGTTCTTTCCAATTTTCTGGTACAATAGTTTCCCCTTTATCTGTGGGGGATACGTTCCAGGACCTGCAGTGGATGCCTGAAACTGCAGATAATACTGAACCCTATATATACTGTTTTTTCCCCCAAACAGTAAAAAAATATTGTTGCAGTGGATGCCTGAACCCTATATATACTGTTCTTTTAAATTTATATATACATATACATATAAAGAAAACACTTTATGGCTTCTCTTTGGCATATCCAAATTGCCAGCATCACTACTCTTATGCTTTGAGGCCATCTTTAAGTACAATAAGGGTTAATTTGAACACAAGCACTGTGAGACCAAGACAGTCACACTGATAACCGAGATGGCTACTAAGTGACTAAGGGGTGAGTCCAGGGTGGGATGGAGCAGGATGGCACAAGATTTCATCACACTACTCAGAATGGTGCACAATTTAAAATTTATGAATTGTTTATTTCTGGAATCTTCCATTTAATGTTTTCGAATTACAGGTGACTGCAAATAACTGAAACCATGGAAAGTAAAATTGTAAATAAAAGGGGACTAATGTCTTCCCTACCAGGTCTGCCCTTTACTCAAAGTCCTGATGTCCTTCCTTCTTCCGTTTTATTCTCTACTAAAGAAATTCTCATCGAATGGTAGGAGGAAATAAATTATGCAAAAGTGTGAATTGCTAATATCCCATACCCCTCCCAAAGTATGTGTATTTTAAAATCTGTTTTATAATGTGACTATTGATTGGCTCCCAAATCTGAAAACAAAGTCTAAATGACTGACAAAATATTAACTCAGTGAAATTGAATATTGCCATTGAAGCAATAATTATGAAGACTGGAAATACATATAGGTAATAATATAATAAAAAATATATAATGTATATAAATTCATGTAAGGTGGGAAAAATAGATATATGCATATTGTAATTGCAGTTGTATAGAATTTAAGTTCTGTTTATGTGAGTAAATCTTGATTGTTTTTAATCTTTTTTTTCTTTTTTAAGGAAAACAGTAGCTGACAAAGGGATTTGCAAGAGGATAAAGATATAATAGAATCGTTTTTAAAGACAGTAGTATATGGAAGTCAACCTGTCTTATTTCATGAATATACTAATTGTAGGCAGTTATTGCTAGTGTCTGAAATTGTGTAAGAGCATCTGGAACAGCCTGAGAGTCTTACACACCAGGGCTCTAGATTAAAGAATTCTCTAAATTGGCTAGAGTGTTTGACATTTTAATAGATTGCTCCAAATAATTCTGTTAGTTAGATTAAAATTTTTTCAAACAAAGCAGTTGGGTCACATATTAATTTTATATATTAGATACATATCTATTGAAACACACAGAGCTAGTGAAATTAATCCCAATTATGCTTTGGTTTTTCATAAACATTCTTTTTAAATAATATTATGTGCCCTGGCAGAGGGAATGAAGTTAGCATTAATATGATGGCTAGGTGGAGGGCCAGGAAGGAGGGAGCAACTGGGGGGATCGTTTTATGAACTATATAGATGTCTAACCAATGTACTGTATACTTGACACTAATTTAAATAAATTTTTAAAAAACTAAACAACAACAACAAAAATAATATTATGTGCCCTACAACTTATATGATGTATACCTTCCCAAGTAAAGGAAATAGGATTAAATGGATGATAAATCTGATAAATCTCCAGATGAGAAAAAATTATGACTTCATATTGATTTTAATATTTGAAGATAGAGCCATCTAGGAGTTGCTGACTGCTGTGAAACAGCGAAATGTAAAAATCTAATCTCGTGCAATTATCTCATCTGCAGGGTAAAAGCGTCTTAACAGGTGGTCTCGATGCTTTGGAATTCATCGGCAAGAAAACCATGATTGTCCTTGCAGAAAGTGACCCAGGCTTTAAGCGGACCAAGACACTCATGGAGAGAACCGTTTCCTTATCTCAGGTGGAATTATATACTTTTGCAATTTTTTCTTTCAGTCAATATAATAAATGCACTCTTGTTTATCTTTTTAATAGTTATTCGAAAGCACATGATCCAAATTCAAATGACACAAAATAGTTGAATGAAAACTGAGTTTCTAATATACCCCTTTTCCCCAACTATTTAGTTCCTCATGGGGGAAAACCACTGTTAATAGCTTTTTATGGAGTCTATCGGAATTATCATATAGATTGACATGGATATGTAGCTATATATATACATAGGTACATATATATGCATAGACTTTTTCAACCAGTTATAACATACTAACTACCCTCTTTTGTACTTTGCTTTATTCACTTAATAATTTCTTGAAGATTATTCCATTTATGCCACTAGTCTTAGTCTGTTCAGGCTACTGTAACAGGAGACCATAGACCGTGTGGCTTATAAACAACAAACATTTGTTTCTCATAGTTCTAGAAGTTTACATACCTATAAAATGAAGAAATAGACCTGGTCAGTTTCCTAGTTTCTGTGTCACCTTCACAATTTTGATCACATCTGCATTCAATCAACTACTAGAAAGTAAGGAGCAATGCTCATAGAAATGTGTCACCCAAGAGTCCACATGAAACATCTACAGTACTCTAATTAGACATTTGAAACATGTGCAGAAAGCGTGGTACACAGGAGTCTGGGGCACACTTGATGCTGCACCTATAATTCACACAGTCTGCTTAGGCTGGAACACCACAGCACTACCAAGCTTAACTTCCTTCCAAACAGTAATTTCCCATTAATTCATTTGTTCGTTCATTCATTCACTGATTCATTCATTCATTCCACGAATGCATTTGAATGTCCACTATGTGTCAGGCACTGTTTCAAGCACTTTGGATACATTTAGTAACCAAAATGGATAAAAATCCCTGTCGTTCCAGGGAAGAGAGACAAACAAACAGTTAACGTTACCTAGTCTTTTAAAAGGTGATGAGTGCTATGAAAAAAAGGAAAAGTAGAGCAGGAAGAAGGCAATCAAGAATGTGGGAGTGAGGAGCAGTTTAAGTATTAAATTAAGCTTTTTGGATATGAGGACATTTGAGCAAATACTTAAAAGAGATGAAAGCCTTGGCCATGCAGAAATCTGAGTGAAGCACATTCTAGGCAGAAAGGGCAGCTCGTGCAAAGGCCCTGAGGCAGAAGTGTCTGGTATGAATGAGGAACAGCAAGAATGCTACATGGTGGGAGAGGAGTAAGCCAGGATGAGGGTTGTTGAAGATGAGCTAGAGTGGTAATGGGAGGCATTTGAAAGGACCTTGGGTTTTACTGTTAGTAGAATGGAGAAACCAATGCAGCATTTTGAAAAGGGGACAAGATCTGACTTTAAAAGGATTGCTCTAGTTACTGTGTTAAAAATAGACTGGGTAGTGGGGAGAGCCAAGGGCAGAGCGACCAGTTATATTGCATATCAACATAGGTCCTCCTGGAAACACATGCCAAAATGGGCTTAAACGTGTGAGGATTTTATTAGAGGAAATGCCTGTGTGACAGGAAATCAGAGGGATGGGGTACTTAGGAAGCCTGGGAGAGCTGTCAGACCAAGATGCAAGTGTGACACCGGTGAAGGAGAGAGGGAGAGCAGGTTGGACAGAAGCATCTTAGGCTGCCGTGCCGTCTCAGGAAGGTTTGGCAAAGACGAGGGAAGTCCTTCAGCCGAAGTCCACTAACAAAGGACTTCCATCTCCCAGGAACAGGTCTGCTTAGTGTCCCTGCTGCATCTGATTTGCAGGAAGGGGTCATGGAGGCATGACCTCAGTGCAATGAGGGATGGATTTCAAAGCACGGCGTCTGGGGCTCCTGGTCATTTGTGCTGCACTCTCACGGCCTCTTCGGGGGTGATCAAAACAAGGGGCAATGTTGGCTCAGAACCGTGTGCATCCATGAAGGTAGTGAAGAATGGCCAACTCTGGATGCAGTTTGGTCAGCCTAGATTTCTTGATGGGTTGAATGTGGAGTGTGAGATAAAAGGAGGAAGCAAAGATGGCTCCGAGCCATTTGTCTTGAGCAGCTGGAAGGATGAAGCTACCGTCAACCGTCAATCGAGAGGGAAGTCTGTTAGGTTTTCCCTAATGTGCACTAAAGAACTATAGAAACGACCTAAATTTCTCATGTAGTCTGTCCCAGTGGTATGCAGAACAGTCCAAATGACACTTCTCTGATCCCACTGAGGTCAGTTTCCAGGGTCGTCCTTCCGCTGGGAAGTCCCGCACACCAGAACCGCCCACTGCTGTTTAACCCCGTCTCCTTTTCTTTTCCAGAGGGAACACAGAACCAATGTCCTGTGTAAAGCCAGTTCTTCTTTAGGCAACTTGAATTTCACTCTGTTTTTTTTTTCAGTGAATTCAAATCATTCCAGAGTGACGTTTTCCCTTTACCTTCCTTTTTATCTCTTTTCCCTTCTTCCACAGTACAAAATCAGAAATGGAATTTGGTGTAGAGAACGGAAGCATTTCAGTGTCATGTCTACAATGTTCTGTCCTCAGCAGGATCCAGTGTGGTCAGTGGGGAGGAGGGTGTATGTTACTGGCTGTTGAGTCAGCTCCAACTCCTGGCGACCCTATGAATGAGTCATGTCTACAATGTTCTGTCCTCAGCTCCTGGAGACTCCTGCCTATGGCTTCTTTTATGGAGTCAGTCCATCTCATATTTGGTCTTCCTCTTTTCTTCCTGCCTTCTATTTTCTCCAGCATTACTCTGGGAAATAAGATGTACCCAGAGTAGGAGAGCTTTAGGTTTGTTATTTTTGGCTCCAGTGATGTTTCAGGTTTAATTTTCTCTGGGACTCACTTGTTCATCTTTCTGGTGGTTCAGGGTATCTGTAGAGCTCTCCTCCAACACCATATTTCAAATGAATGAATTTTTTTTTTTTTATCAGCCTTCTTCACTGGGTTTTATTATGTAAAAAATGTTCAGCGATTTGATGGGTTGTTTTGAAAACTTTAAAATTCAAAGCTTGTACTTATTTAGTCTTAAAAACAGGAAGTAGAATTCTGTCTGTAGCCTGGTGGGTTTTTGGCTAACCACTTCTGGAACCCAAAAGGAGAATGAGGCTGATTGTTTTATTGGTGTACGATGAAAATAAAACCTGTCTTTCCACGATCTTCTCTTTATGACCTCGTGGTGGCCAGTGTATTCATGGTGCTCTTTACAGGTATTAGAGAACCCTATAAACTCAATGCCTTAGTTTACTTAATGAGGAATCAAATACATAAAAGCAAGTGCAGGAAATTGAGAGCGACTGGTAGACTTGTCTTTTTATTTAATCAGCAACAACAACAACTGGAGAAAAATTATCAGTTCACAATCATACTTCTCGAGACCAGCCTAAGAACTGATGAGCTAACTTTCTTATTTATATTCAGTATCTTATGAGGAATATATTATGAGTGTATATCTATTAAGTTTTCATCAAAGAGGTTTAATAACCACACAAATAGGTTTAATAACCACATTAAAAATAATGTAAAAATCAGATCAGCTTATTTCTACTTTGAAGTCTGCCTAGGTGCAGAAGTTGCAATTAATCCTGTCACAATAGATTCAACTTTTCTAGTGCACATAAATTTGCTCGTTATAGAAAATTTTGACATTTTAGAGAATAAGAAAGTTAATCACACACATGAAAAACACTTTAGTGGGAACTGCTGTTAAGCTTCTGCTATGCTGCTTCTTTCCAATCTTCTTCCTCCGCATAGATTTTTTCCTTTGTTTTGCTATGTATAGAATGAACGTGTAAAATTCAAAATGGAATATTACACAAAAATCATCAGTAGAATCAAATCAAAAGTCTTTCTTTTTTTAAGAAACTCTATAGTGACTAAAACCTATTCTTTACGAATACAAAGTCAGTCCTCACCTCTCCCTACAACTTTTGTAGAAAATGGGGCTCTCCAGCATTCACTGAGTATACAAACACTGTGTTCTGCAGATGTTAAGGGAGGCCAAGGAGAAGGAGAAGCAGAGACTGGCACAGCAACTCACGGCCGAGAGGACTGCACACTACGGGATGCTGTTTGATGAGTATCAAGGTCTGTCACACCTGGAGGCCCTAGAAATCCTGTCCAATGAAAGCGAAAGCAAGGTATGTCTACACTGGTCACTTGAAATAATACGTTTATTAATGCATTTTCTTAAACAGGAAACTAGAAATTCTGCCATTGAAATATCTCATTTTTAGGACATCATTATTATTGTGCTAATGTTACACCTACTGTACAGCCTGACAACCCCCATGTGCTCTGTATTCTTTCCTCTTGTCCTGTGCGAAGCTGTTACCGCTGCTACCCCGCAAGAAGCCAGCAAATCAGAGTCATCACTAGCCCTACCTCGTGGTGCAAAAGACTGCTCAAATACTTGGCCGTCTCCTGGCCCTGTGCCTTTGGTGACATACTACCCAGAACAGAGCCGCCCTACCAGGCCATGTCTTCATTCCTACCCAATGAAAAGGAAGCAGCTGATGTTTCTTCCAGACCACAGGGTTTTAATATATTTAATTATATGGGTAATATACTTATTCGCCCACTTGTTAGGATGCCTGGGTTGCAAAGGGCAAGGTATCTCACTGGCAGGGGTGTGGTTCAGTTCTATTTGGGAATGCCTCTTAACAGAAACCTGGGAAATTACCATCAGCCCCATTCATCCACATTCTCCCACTGTGAACCCAAGAAATAAAACATGAGTGGCAGAAATTATCAGGGTTTGGTGATTTCCTTTTTAAAGAATCTGCAGGTGTATGTGTTTGTGTTTAGCAAACATTTATATAGCACTTATAGTAGCCACTATTCTAAGCACTTTGCAACTATTAACTCATTTAACATATGGCTCTTTTGCGTGAATGTCAGGGTGACTGTGCTCTGGGCATTTTTCCAGTGGAGGCCATTGGGCAGTACCCTCTGGACCTTTTCTGAAGGGCTATGGGCCATCCTGGTGGCATTCACTGGTGAGAGGCAGGTCATCAGACAGAACGCTGAACGTGGAAGTGAGCCTTAGATTAGAGAAGTGATTTTTGACTCTTTCTAGGCTTTGTCCTCTTATGTTTGGACTTTGAGGAAATTGAGACAGTCTTGATGCCCACCTAGTCAGGGGAAGATGATCTCTGCCATGTAACAGGTAACCAAGAACCAAATAAGATGGAGACCCACAACCCCATTTCCACCCCTAGATTATCGAGTTATATGTTACTATCTGTGTTTATTTCCTTTTTTGTTATCCACAAACCATCAGCAACAGTCTTGTGGTTAAACTGTTAACGAATAATTTTTTTTAAAGCAAAGTCATGACTCATATTGATGTAAAATGAACACAAATCAAATAATTTATTTAGCTAATTAATTAAATGAAGGAACCAGACAGATGTTATAACCAGTTCACAGGAAAAGCCAAAGAAGCACGAATTCATATGGCATACAGGAATTTTGAAATGAATTTGCAGATGAACACAAACCTGGCTTTTCCACAGGAGGGAAGGTTGTCTCTGCACTGGACAAAATTTATTCCTGTCTGTGGACAAGAATTATTTTGCACTGATATCAGCCATCTACATTTTATAGAGTTATAAATTTACTCCCACAGAGTCAGAATCAGATAGTCTGGTAAGGTGTGGTCTAGAAAATGTGGTTTTCCACTGAAGCACAAAGTTTCCTTTTTTTTTTGATATTATGTGATAAAATACAACCGTATGATTTGAACCTGTCTTACTTCAATCTCCTTATCTATGAAATGGGAATAATATTAAAAACCTACTTCATAGGCTTAATTAAAATAATTAAATGAGATAATTCATGTGACGTTTGTCACAGTATACCTAATACATAATAAGCACTCAGTAAATGTTAGCTGCCATTTTACACATATATATTTATATGTAACACGATGTTGATGACATTTTATTTTTATATGCTTTTTTATGTTATATATATTTGTTATTATTACTAAAACCATTACAGGGGAGTATGGTCCCTCGAAGCTATCACAGTGGTAGAGATTCCACTCTGGCAGGTTCCATTCCAGGCCTCAGCTGTGAAGCAGCCTCAGGCCCTTAGAAAGAGTCCCAGGGGACTGGCGTTGCTAGGCAGGAGGCTGGGTCCCTGGAGGACTGCATTTCCCTCTGTTTGAGCGTTGCTCCCACAGGATCAG